AATTAGCGCACGGTCTAAAAAGTTAGAATCAGATAGCTTATCAAAGTTCATGCTTGTGGTTTCTGATGACGAAACTTAATCAAAGTATTATGCGCATTTTGCGTCATGTTGCATATCATCTGACATTAACTATGCAAAAATAATGTCGGATCACGTTCATTAATGATGATTTAAACTATGTAATCACGCAGGATATTAGTGAGAGTTAATGCAAAAGGATTGCAGTCATTAGCCAGTGTCATATATAAAGCGTAAAGTTTCTAATTGTGAAGACAGGGTTTCTGTAGCGAGAAATTTCCTCAGTTATATGGAAGCTTTTTCGTTCTGTGCCAAAGCCTATGCGTGACTGTTCGATATATGTCGTTCTCCTTTCGTTTATCATCCTCTCAGTTTCTCTTGGTTTATCCTTAGTTACTTCATCTCGTTTGTCATTTCTTCTTGCTTCTTTTATCCTCATGTGTCCAACTTCTTCGCTATCTTACCTTATTACTTTCCATGTTTCTCCGTCTTCTCTCTATTCACTAAAGTTTATTGCTCCTTATTTCTTCCCATTTTCCATCATTCCTTATCCTTTTCCTTCCTTTTTCGTCACCTTCCGATTCTTTCTCTCTCATCCCGTAATCTCTACAACCTATTTCTTATCCTCAAGTATATACAGAATATATAATGCCATTCTCGATATTCTTGTATCAATACTACAGCTACATTTAGTGTCCAATCATACAATAATCTGAAATAAATCCTTTTTCATTTTGTAAATAGTTCTAAGAGACCTATCGGATATGGTTCACGTCTGCATGAAGAGTTAGCTAAGGAGAGTTTAGGATCCGAAGTTAGATGGGGGGGGGGGTAGATCTAATTCCACATTAATTAGTGTTATGATGATGATACGATTCGCTCAATAGTTTCACGGTGATCGGAAAATGTGTTTGCAAAACGTTAACTTCTTCTCCTTCCTCTCCTTCCCTTCTCTATGTCCTTCATTCTGTTGCTTGTCGTATTTTCAGTACTTTTATCTCCCTTTTATCTTTTATTATTTTTTTTTTTGTAGATTATGATATATAATTATGATATATGATGATGTTTCTGTCATCTACTTCTTCCCCCTATTTTATTTTTTTAACCCTGATCTTCTTTCTATTTCCTCTCTCCTCTCTCCCTCTTATCAATCCCCCTCTTTCTCCCCTTTCTTATTTTCTCTTCTTCCCCTTCTTACGCGCGTGATGGCAATGTGTTGACCTCAGAATCTCGTAAATCGTAAATGCGAGAAACACGTCACGCTACGTCGTGTTTGGTGGCGTTTGACTGGGCGAATAATTTTTTGTTTACATACAGTGAATATATTAAAAAATTCATTCACGAACAAATGTGCATATTCGCTCATCTTCTCTGTCTGTGTCTGAGTCTCCCATTTTCTTTTTATCTCTCTTTTTCATTCTCTCTCTTCTCTCTCTTCTCTCTCTTTCTCTCTTCTCTCTCTCTTCTCTCTCTCTCTCTCTCTCTCTCTCTCTCTCTCTCATCTCTCTCTTCTCTCTACTCTCTCTCTCTATATATATATATATATATATATATATATATATATATACATATATATATGATATACTATATATGTATATATATAATGTATACATATGATATGTGTATATATACATGTATCTATATTATATCTATATATATATATATATATATATATATATATATATATATATATATATATATATAATATATATATATATATATATATATATATATTATATATACATTAACATATATATATATATAAATATATATATATATATATATATATATATATATATATATATATATATATATATATATATGAGTATATATGCATGTATCTATATCTATATATACATACATATATACATACATAATATTATATATATATATATATATATATATATATAATATATATATATATATATATATATATATATATATATATATATATATATATATTATGCTCATACGCGAATGCAATCTACTTAAGCAACTCATTATGCTAATCCTCCGAGCTCGTCATCTTCCTCCAACTCCGAAGACGACGCCGACGGTGATCAGGAGGCGATGCACTGCAGGGTCAGCTGGTACGGTGATTTGACACTTTAATGACATGACAGCCGATGACACGCCGAGACGCAGAGTGACGGAACGTGGCGTGGCGTCGCGTGACTTTTCTGTCATGTGATGGAGGAGATGGATGCGAAAGGAAGGAAGGGAAAGATAAGAAAGATGGAAGAGGAAGTGGAAGAGGGAGGGAAGGAGGATAGGGAAGGTGAGTAGGAGGAGGGAAGGTAGGAAGTAGAGAGAGAGATTAAAGAGAAATACTGATACATTAAGAAACGGAGATAAATAGATAGATAGATAGATAGATAGATAGAGAGCAAGAGAAAGATGAGAGCGAGACAGAGAGAGACTGAGAGAAAGAGAGAAAGTGAAAGAGAGAGAGGAGAGAGAGAGAGAGAGAGAGAGAGAGAGA